CTGTAGGCAGGGCGAAGCTGTGGCAGTTTCTCTTCTGCTTTCCCCTTATTCCCTGTCCGCTCCAGAACTTCAAAAACAAACCAAAAAAATCCCACCCGAAAACAACCAAGTAAAAAACCCAGGAATCAACACTCAAAATTATTTTCCTCTATCGCCTGCTCCCCGTTCCCCGCACTCCCGAGTCTGCCCGTCTCCAGAGCGGCGTGCCGGGCTGTGGGGCAGGAGGGCCTGGGGCCCCGGGGCTGGGCCGGGGTTCGGTGCCGGCGGGAGTCCCTGGGGGTGTCCCTGGGGGTGTCCCTGGGGGTGTCCCTGGGGCTGCGGAGCCGCTGCCGCGTGCCCTTCAGCTGCAGCGAGTTCTCATTTGCCGTTGACCTTCCACGTGCTTTTCCTTCCCAAATACCTTAAGCTCTCTTAGGATAGATTTTCTGAACTCTTCAACAGTAGATTTTTCGAGTGTCTTTTGAGAGAGATTTCAGTTTGCTCATTTCGAAAATGATTAAACTAAATAGTTGCAGTTGGTTTCAGCCCTGTCTTGTCAGGGGCTGCTGTATTTGCTTCCCCCACACTCCTACCGCTCTTTGTCAGTTTCCGCAGTTCTTGTAAATGGCTTTTTAGTATTTTTGGTAGAAAGAGATTAACGTTTTCTAATAAGGACGGGTGTGTTCTTTTATTGAGAAATAATAATTTAAAAAACCCAACAAGTTAAGAAATCTGCATATAGAAACAGATTGTGTGGATGTGAACAGTGTAATTTTATTTTGGGATGTGGTAACCATTTATTAAGAACTTAACATTTAATGTATTACATTCATTCAGGCGATGTTTAATATTGAACCTTGTTGAAATTGGAGGTTGGCTGCAACAATTGCAAATCATTCCAAATGTCATCCAATGAGGAAAAAAATAGAGCAACTATTATAGAAATTTTTTCAAGATTTGCTTAAATACAGAGTAGGAAAATAAGCTTCAGTGCTTTTTCTTGTTTTATATAAAAGATTTTGTCTTCCAGGTTTGTTCATTTTGGTATTCTCTAAGCAGAGGAATGTGTGAAAAGGCAGGATGAAATAAAATTGTAAAAACAGATTTCTAACACAATTGTTATTTTAATGGGCAATTTTACAAGGATGGATTTAGTTTCAGTAATAGTTTTAAGAAGAGTTTTAAAGAGACATCAAAGTGTCTGAAATCTTTGTAACAGACCTAGCTTCAAAGATCAGAGGGGAAATAAAGTATTTGGAAAGTGCTTCTTACTTTTGAAAAGTAAAACTCCTTTACCTGTTTCTTTTTTTTTCTAAAATGTTGGCCTCACTTAAAGTTGGTAGTCTTGCTTTAAGGTGGTATTTATGGGGTTAACCCTGTATTGTGTTTTGTGCTGTCATAGATAATTTGAAGACTATCATAGATAGTTTAAAGCCAGTCTTCTATCTGAAATAAGATTTTTTCGGCTCTTTCATTCTTCTAGAGTTTTCTTACTGTAAATAGTTAACACTTGTCAATAGAAAGCAGTTTTGTTCAGAAGTCTTTTGTGGTCCTGTGTCTTTATGGTTACCATATCTTTTTTGTCTTTGTTTATAAGCCTTTGTTAACATACACTGCAGCATTGTCAACACTATCCCTGACTGTGGCCCGACTTTGTACAGTTTTCTACAAAAAGGCTTTGGGATATTTTTCTGTGATGAGAATTGAAAGTAATTCCCAAGCTACATTAGTACTTGCCTTCAGCTCTCTTCTTAGAGGTTTTTTTTTCTCTCTTTTTTTTGGTGTTACAACCTACGAGACAACAGCCAGACTGTGCTGAGTCCACCTTCCTCCCACAGGCTGGGCTGTCTGGCTTCGTTGGTCTTAACTGTGATGAGCTTTACAGCTTGATTAGATGGCCTTGTAGGCAGGCACCATTTTGTTTTGTTTCTTAGTACAGTTAGTTTTTTAGGGCCATGGTAAAGTAAAGCAGGAAATGAATAACAGTACAGTAGCATGGGATCCAGTAAGCACTCTACAAAATTCAATCAAGTAATTTGTGGTAAAATGTGGGAAATCTGAATGTAGCCTCATCTTAAGGTATTTTTTTTAAATTGTTGATACATGAATTGAAAATATTAATATATTTATTCTAGTATCCTTTTAATTTTTTATTTTAAAACAATTTTAATATTGAAATGCTGTAAACAGCATGGGCAATAATCTACTCTCATTTTTCTGAAATTGAATTTGGAGTTGAAATCAGAACTAGTAGGAGGCTTTTATTTTTTAGAATGAAGTAATTCAGAAAGGAAAGAGCCTTTGTCTCATTAATATTCTGTTAAGCCTGAAGTTTTACATTATGAGGTGAATACTAACTACATTTTCAAGGTATCAATCACAGCATCCAGAATTAATGAACATACGATTTTTGAATATTTTTTTTCTGTCCATAAATGGGTTAGAAGAAAGTTGTAGGTCTGCATGAGAATAATGTCAGGTAGAGATGGAATCACGAATTAGGAAGCTATTTATTATCATATATACTTTTATATCACTGAAACATAAGTAGCTGCTTTACAAAAATCAGTTAAGTATGAAAGGATGCCATGTTATTTATTACTACTTATACTTTAGGTTTGAGTTAGGCAGCAAATTGAGGTTGGCATACAGCATTTTAGCATGTACTAAAGTAGAAATTGAGGCTAATAGCTGCATGGTTGCAGTCCTGTAATACATTTTCAAGCTCTTGCATGGAAAGACAGATAAAAGTGGGAACTTTACATTGGAAATTCTGAGGAAGTTTGTTAGGAATAGTGTGGTCTATTGTAGTAAAGATTGCTTGTGCTGTCTGTTCTCCTGTCCATGTCGCAGCGAGTCTAAGGCAAGGTGCAGTTTTACAGAGCTGGTCTAGATCTCTGAGTTCCTTCCTTGGACTAGTTTTTGTGTCCTGGGCATTTAAAGAAGCTGCACAGAATCTTCACCTGTAGTTGTAGTTAGAAGGCTGTGGGCCTGAACATGAATTTTGTAGGCAGTGTGTATTCTAGAGCACTCCTAATTTTATTGTTAGGCTGTAGTATTTCTTTTGATGGTGATTAAAATCTATGAAAAATACTGTGTTTCAGTTGCACCAGGACAGCAGGATTCTTTCCTTACTGATACTAGAAAAAGTTTCAGTAGATCTTAAATAAATATCAATAATAGCTGTATTCTCCATGTTAGAGTATCATCTCCTGGTCTCAAAGAATAATCTTTTTCAGTTTGGTTTTCCTTTTTTTTTTTTTCTTTAATCATCAGTATTTTTTTTATTTGCAGATATTTGCGGTAAAAAATTTGTATGTTCAATGCAGTGTCAACTGAACCTACTGCCTTTTATAATTGCAGCTTTTGAGAATGGGAGGTACATTTAAAATGTTGCAACTTAGGGCAAAGTAGTATCCCATGAAGGATAAATGTTATTCCTAACATGACAGTCTTAATTTAAAAAGATTGCTAATGCTGGTAACCCTCTGGACCAGATACCGGTTTTTATAAATCCAGTGTATCTAGTAATGAGTAAAGAGTAATTCATCTCTGTAGTAGAGAACAGTCCTTGTTCAGAAGGGATTTCAGGCTGTGGCTGTTCTCTGTGGAACCTCTCAGATTAGTAGTAAGATTCAGAACTGGCTATGTGCTTTATGGATACTGTATGTAGGCACTACACATACATAGTAAACTGCTAATGTTTTGCAACTTTTTTTTTTTTTTTAATTTCAAAACTTTATGACTAATTCTGATGATACTAATTTTTGTGTAGTTAGGCATAAGGGTTAAAACTTTTAGAAGCACTTTTAATTGCCAATATTTTCTTTTCCTTACAGTGGTGGGAAGGACAGCTGTTACAATATGATGCAGTGTGTTGCTGCTGGGCATCAGATTGTTGCTTTAGCCAATTTAAGACCTGCTGAAAACACAGGTATGACAAGCACATTTCTTAGAGGAGATGATTTATTTATTTTTTTAATACAATTAGAAACAATGGAGGCACAGCTGTGCCTGAATTAAGTTCCTTTATGTGTTTGTATGTAGTTTTGCATATTGAAGGGCAATCTAGAAATCTGAAAAAAGGTAGGAAAAGGAAAATGCTATGGAGACATATTAAATGTATTTTTCCTCAAAGGGGAAAGAAGCACAAGAAGAGTAAAAAAGAGGCTTATGCAGGTTGAAAAAGGGAAAATACGAATATTCCTGGTAGTAAACAAGGGTATTGTGTGAGTTCAGTAGCACAAATAGTAAAATGTAGTTGAAGACATCATCAAACAAAACAAACACTGTAGTCTAGAAAAGCTTTAAATTGGCATAAACCGTTCTAGCTGACAAAAATGCAGTTTTGCTGCTGATCATTTGTTTTTAAACTTTTGGATCTTTATCCATTACTCTAGCCCAGCATTTTTTAACTGAATTGAGGAATTGATCCAGATTAGAATTGATGTTGATGCACTTCCTTTACCTGCCTTTTTGCGTCATCTTAGCTTGGACCAATTTTTGAATAAGTTCCTCACAGGCTGCACCTAGACTTATTTCTGTGAAAGAGAATGGGAGAAACTAAGGTAGTCTTAAGTCAGTGGTGAGGTGAGAAGGTGTGCTGAGTGCTTCTGTGTTGGACTAACTGAGGCTTGAAGAGGTTAGTTGTTTCCCAGTTTGTAGGGGAGAATCAACGTATGTTAAATGATGAAATGATATCTGGTACCTGTATGGTAAGAAGATATCGAGAGAAAGTGAAGGAAAAAGGAAATAGGGAGCTGCTATCACAAATGAGTCACAGATGGGAATGACAAATACTGTGTGATTTATCCACATCAGAAATGTAGGATATTGTCATTAAAATCATAAAATGCTCTCTTTAAGTATGTAGTTGAAATTTTGTGGAAAGTTAATTGAGGTGCTTCAGGCAACAGTGGATTCTATGTCATTCATTTTATTTTATCTTGTACCACTGTTGCCTGGAGAGTCTCAATTAATAAAGAAAATGTGTATTCTGAACTGAATATCAGTTTAAAGACCTTGTCATATCCATGTGTGTTGAAAACCACTGAGTTTTCTTTTAAAGCACCTCTTCTGGTCTAAGTTGGTTAGTTGTGATTATGGGTTTGCAGTTGCCCATTTTGAGCAAAAGTGTATCTGTTGTATGGCATCAAATATGACATGACCTAATTGTTACATCACGAATTAGTTATCTTTTACATGTTACAGACCTTTCTCTCTGCAAGGTGTGCTATATTGGTATGCAGCAGAGACACTTAATGTGTTTGTGTCAGTTAAGAGAAGTTCCAGTATTACAAAGTAGCATTAAAATAGGGAACTGTTTTAACTTTCAATAAATGAGGTGGAGATTTCACCTATAATGGTGTATTTCTTTATCAGTCTGTTTGAAAAATTATCTGGAAGGTTATATATGTAAACAGTTTATCACATAGTTTGAGGTTCAAACTCAGTATCTGAATTTTAGCAGCTTTTTACTTACCTGCTAACTACAAACTGCTCATAAGAAAATTCAGTTAAATCTTTCTCCTGGTTAAGGAAAGAATGGCAGACTTGATGTCATTTCAAGCTGAATTTTTAAAAAGAGTGAAGGTAGGAAGGGTCTGGATATTATAACAGATTTGCTTTTCTTTTGTATCTTAAGTAATGTCAAAACATTGTAGGAGTCTACTTTTATTGTACTGAAGGTAAAGTAATATCTTCTTTCTTGATGACCATTTTAACATCTTGCTAACATTTGATAATTTTCAGAGTGAAGTTTTTGGAAATTCTGCCAACCTATTGCTTATTCTCAGTATTGCAGCATGTTCCAAATTACATGCTCTGAGTATGTTGAAGTGTGCCTGGGTTTGTGCCTCTGAACTGTCTTCCTATTTAAATTACCATATACATAGTAGCAGGATTGGATGATTATGAGACTTTTGGATGGAGCAGGGAGGAATATTAAAGAAGAAATAGACACCACAATTTTCAAATCGGCAGCATGTTTGTGACAGATGTCTTTCTCTCCATAAGTCTGTTGGGTAGAGAAATCTTTTTGTTTCTTTCCATGTTTATAGAGTTATTGTCACTGAACATCTGTTTGTGAAGTGAAAACTATTAACATAGTTGTTAATATTGTTGTTTCAATACTGTACCTGATATAATTGTTTCTTGATTGTGACAGGGCAGACTGATGAATTGGACAGCTATATGTATCAGACAGTAGGACACCATGCCATTGACCTATATGCTGATGCTTTGGATTTGCCACTCTATCGTGGTTTCATAAAGGGTACCAGTGTAAATACTGGAAGAGTGTATACCACATGTCAGGAAGATGAGGTTGAAGACCTTTACCACCTCTTGAAACTTGTTAAGGTATGCTGAATGAAAAGAATGAAATGCTACTTAAATCAGTTTTGAATTTAAGTAAATGATCCACTTAGGTATTTAAGGAAAGCTTTGAGAAAAAATTTAGACACTTTTATTCTTGTAAGTTTTATTTCCACGCCTTTGTTCTTCTTAGCACTGTAAATGCGTAGCATAACTTTATTCCTTTTTTCTCAATGTAAATCAAACTTATTCATTCACACTTCAAGCTAAAATCTTGTTTCTGTTTCATGAAAATTTATCTAACTGGTGCTCAGCATATACTACAAAAACCGTAATTGTGAATTTTTTTTTTTAAATGAAATGTTTATGTAGTTTCATATTCAAAATAATGCATTGCTTGGTTACTGAAATGAGAGATCTTTTGGGTTCTGTGCATTTACCAGTGTATGGATAGTCATGCCTAGACAATTCCATTTGTGCACACTTACGCTCTGTAAACCAGAATTTGCTATTTCTTTGTATGTTGCAGGTCATTCGCAAAGTATTACAGAATATTTTACAATTATAGTAAATACACATTTTATTTTATTAATCAAACTGCTAGACTACTTTCAGAAACTTCAGTTAAAGGTATTAGTCAATTCAGGTATTGAACATTTCCTACATTGAGAGGAGAATTGACATTCATGAACCTAGAAGTTTCAGGCTTAGTCTTTGTTCAGTTTTAAAAATTGAAGTTGCAGATAAGACCTAAGAATGTGGATTGAGTGCAGAGTGCTTCCTGAATTGTGTTGGAGCTGAATGTTACATCTTCTAAAGACTTTTGACAGAAAAATCATGTTCCTCTGAAGTAAAAGTAAAAAAATAATTCACCTCTACTGGAGTAGAAGACTACAAAACAGAACAGTTTATGTAGGTTGTATGGCCTCAAAGTTGTGCTAGCTGAGCTTTAGATTGGATATTAGTAAAAAATTCTTCACCATAAGGGTTATCAAGCAGTGGAACTGACTGTCCAGAGAAGTGGTTGAGACACCATCCCTGGAGGTGTTTAAAAGATGTGTAGTCATGAAGCTTAGGGAATGGTTTAGTGGTAGACTTAGCAGTGTTAGGTTTATGGTTGGACTCAAAGATCTTAAGGATCTTTTCCAACATAAATGATTATATGATTATGCTCTAAACTGCTTCTCAGAGGTTTTAAATGGAATGTGCATGTGTTGCAATACAGGAATTGAAAGAAATTATTTACAATATTTTTGAACTATTATAATATTAGAAATTAGAAGGACTAGTATATGCAGTCTCTTAAAGCTGCATACTAACGCTTTCTGCCATTGGGTAACATAATAAATTACTGATCAATTTAATTAAAAATGGGCAGATTAGAGGCAATTAAGATGACACTTCCTTTTAAATTCTTGCTTTGGAGAAATGGATGCCTGACATACATTAATGCTAATGTTGAATCTTAACAACTTCTGCTTTGGAAGTCTGTATATGATAGTTATAACTATAGTTGAAAGAGATGTTATCAAGTTTTCTGCAATATAGAAATACTGATTTCAGCATATGATGTTTTAAAGGCACAAATATGTTTTATGTCTTTATGTTGAAGTTTGGGTAACTATACCTTTACAGTAAAAACTGTCTATGAAATTCTGGTCCATAAGTTTCAGTAGAAGTCTTGCATATCCTGATGAATAAGTGCAAAATTATCAGGGGGACTTAAAGCACAGGAGCTGTGAGACTGTTTTTTTTTCATTTTAAGAAAAAGACAGGAACATTTTTCTTTTGTGTATTAACAGTAACTTTGAAAGCTTTCTATTTTTTTTTCACATTTATTTATAACTGCAATTTATAGCTTGACTATGTAAGTCTTAATCACTGAGGACTTTAAGATTTTTTTTTTCCCCCAGATGTTTAGAGTTTTAAAAAGAGAGCTCAATTTGCATTCTTTTGAAGGGAGGGGAGGAATTCCGTGGAAGCTGCGGAAGCCTTGTCAGAATACATCCTCGAGTGAACGTCATTTCAAAACACTGGTCAAACTAACATAGCTCTGTTTTTGTGTCAAATGGTTTGAGCCCAAGTGTACAGGAAAGGTGTGTCAAGATCAAAATCACACAGCGTGTCTTGCTTTCATTTTGTAAAGAATGCTTGTATTGCAAGTGCTTCAATAAAAAATTAAAACACATTTGAAAAACTAGTATGAATTCAAAAGCATCTGCTGATATTTTTAAAAACAATGTTATGAGAACCAGATTTCTGAAAAGTTAAATATTCCCTTGCAGTGCTGGGAAACTTAGGACAACAGTCCTCTTTCTGGTTCATGGGACTCAGAAAGTGGCATTAACCGCCGATGACAGTAAATCTGCTAATTTAACTGTCAGAAACCAAGATGTTTGATAGGTATGAAGAAAATTTATATTTATTTTTCAGTTGACCTGATTTTAATTCTGTATTCAATATATGTTGTGAAATGTCAGAGTATTTATATGTTTGAAGGTATCTTGCTACACAGGCCTCACCTGATAGTAGAATATTTACTTTGTGAGACATGTAACTCCTGAACTCTAAGGATTAATTTACTCTTCTCTCTACATTACTGAATAGGGATTTCTGATAGCCTTGTTTGTCCATGTTTGTTGCTTCATGTGTTGGAGCTTTTTCCAGCAAAGCTTGTAAGCACGAGAGTTTCTTAGTTACCTGAATTAGCCTTCACGGTTTTATCATAGCGCTGTCTTTGAAACCAGGAAATATGTGGGAAAAT